TCCAACCCCTACTATTCTGTGATTCTGTGATTATTGCATCCAGTGACCGCTCTCCTTACTAGTCACTGTATTTTTAACAGGTATGTTTAGTATAGCTGACATGCAAGTACCCAGAGCTAGGCTACGCACAGATTGGGTATTTACTTTAGAGTTGGCTTTTAGTGCTTGTTCTGATAAGCCTTGTGACACAGGAAATAATTCTGAGATATTTTCTCAGCTTGAGCCATTCTATAATCACCTCCTGCATGTAAAATGAATACTGCATAACAATGAGAAAAGATGTTGGGAACTGCTCCTACTAGAGTAAGTAAAAGAGTAAGTAAGTTCCTCCTTGGAAGTGTTCGAGGCCGGGTTGGATGAAGCTCTGAGCAACCTGGTCTAGTAGAAGACGTCCCTGCTCATGGCAGGGGGGTTGGAACCAGATGATCTTTAAGGTCCCTTCCAACCCTTACCATTCTATGATTCTACGATTCTACGAAAAACACACTGATATTTGGCAAATATGGATGACAGCCAGGACTCACCATACTGTCAACCAAAAGGAAGAGTCTGCTTAGTTGAAAAATGAACACAGACTTCAAGGTCACAAATGAACTGGAGCAAGAAGAAAGTGAAAAAAAAAAAGAAGAGTCCACATCAACAGTAATGTCCGACTGACAGTTCCAAGCAGACACACAAGGAGAGATCACTTGCTATCAACTTCTGCATGATCAGCATGTTCACATTTCAAACAGCTGTCTGGTACACTGGCTAAAAGGCTGTTCTGCACTGTGAAGTTTTGAAAGGGGCTTTTTGGTAGTACTAGGGGCTATCAGTCCTGCTATTGAAGGTGACCATTTTAAAGAGAGGTGGTCTTCGAACAAAGCAGCAGCATGCAGGTTGCATTTGAAGTGTCTGTTGTGACATTTTGCATTATGCATGAGATGGTGCAGAGGAAAGGGAAGAAAAAAAAAGCAACCCATCTCAAACTTTAAAACCTGAACCAGGACAAATAAATCACAATTGTCAAATACTGAATAATCACTAGTGTATTAAAAGTAAGGAATCTACAGATAGTAGCATCACCAGTTAGAACCAACTCTCTTGCACTGCATCGAGTCAACTGTAAGAAGGCACGCTCAGTTGTCTTTAGAGTTCAGCAGCTAGGCATATAAATTCTACTAGCAAGCCCGTATTCTGTAACACGGCTGAGCCAAACAAAAACTATTATGGAACCTTGATCCTGGATATGGAGACTATAATACTGAGGATTAGTAGACACCTACAGATACAAAAAAGCTAGACAACAATGCCATAAAATCTACTTCTCCTCTGCAGGCAGAAAGTGACACAAGAACTCTTCAGGCCAGTGATCAAAAAGCTGAAAACTCTGAGAATAAAAGTTAGAATTTTATAAGAATTGACATGGCTACAAAAATGTTTAATTATTACATACAGTAAATGCTACATCTTCATTACCAAACTAATTTAAACAGATCTTTTGTATAGACAGGTGAATCCAAAATAAGCACATAAAACTAAGCCTTTATATAGAGGTATGTATTACAGTTGGCCTAATTTTAGCATCTATTGTTCTAGAGAAGCTGTGTGAAAGGAAAGATTTTCACATTTCTATCTAGTTTACAGAACTAGAAGTTTCCTTCATGGGAGTTCATTTAAAATTTTCAGCTAGCTCTATACCAGAGTTTCTCATTGTTAATAACTTGACTTTCATAACACTTTTATGCAAACAGGTTGTCATATTTTACAGACAAGCAACTAAAATCCACAAAAAACTGCTGTTAAAAATGTCAGGAGTGCTTAACTGAAATATGCAGACCATTATTTCTTTTTAATAAGTGCAATTTTTATAGCACTTAGTATGTTCTAAGCACAGCTCTAGCTAACCTGCAAGTTCCCAACATGGTAAAAGCTGCTTCACACATTGCATTACACCGAAAAAAAAAGAAAGAAAAAAAAAAAGAAGAAATGCTACACAGCCACCTTCTGAGTGAAATTTTTGTTAAAATGAACTTTCCAAAAATTACAGTTTTACACTGTCATGGGTGCAAGGACTACACTCACCATTCCGTATTAGCACCTGCCTCTTCTCCAAGACCAGACTTCTTCCCTTCTGTTCTCTTTCGTTCGGCAGAAGACCAAATCCATTTGTGTCTGGGGCATGGTCTGCACTCAGCTAAAAGAGCAATTTTGCCTGTGGGTGAAATACAGAACGTTGCTCTTCACCCGTTCTTCAGAGCTTCACATGAACCTTGTGACGGACGAGACATTACCCATGAAACCCAAACACAGTTCCAAAATTGAGAGTAATGCCTGTGTATACCCAGGTGGGAGGGAGCAGTGTGAAACTTTAGCTTATTATGCGCGGCTGCTGTTAAACCTTCTCCATGTAACCGCCACCACCACAGGCTCTGGCGATATGACAGTACACATACGTACATGTCAGTAACGTAACTGACTGCTGTTAGGTTAGGTGTATTAACCGTGACAGAAACTGGCCAGAAGAGTGTGGCCAGCAGGTTGAGGGAGGTTCTCCTTCCCCTCTGCTAAGCCCTAGCGAGGCCTCATCTGGAGTACTCTGTCCAGTTCTGGGCTCACCAGTTCAAGAAAGGTGAGGAGCTACTGGAGAGGGTCCAGCGGAGGGCTACGAGGATGGTGAGGGGACTGGAACATCTCTCCTACACGGACAGGCTGAGGGAGCTGGGTTTGTTCAGCCTGGAGAAGGCTGAGAGGGGACCTTATAAATGCTTCTAAATATCTTAGGGGTGAATGTCAGGAGGATGGGGCCAGACTCTTTTCAGTGGTGCCCAGCAACAGGACAAGGGGCAATGGGCACAAACTGAAGCACAGGAAGTTCCGTCTGAACATGAGGAAGAACTTCTTCCCTCTGAGGGTGACGGAGCACTGGAACAGGCTGCCCAGGGAGGTTGTGGAGTGAGCCGCAAGGCCCGCCTGGACAAGGTCCTGTGCAGCCTGCTGTAGGTGACCCTGCTTCGGCAGGGGGGTTGGACTGGATAACCCACAGAGGTCCCTTCCAACCTCTACCGTTCTGTGATTTTGTGTGTGAAACTAAAGCAAGAAAGCCTTATTGTTTTTACTCTGGGTTTAAACGCATTTACCACTCAGGGATCTAGAGAGGCAGCCTCACACGCAGCCCTTCCGCGTTACCCAACACCCCCACAAAACAGCTGAGCCCCTCGCACACCACGCCACGTTCCCGTTTACCCACAGCCCTACGGTTCATCTGCCTCTCGCACCTGACGACGCCGCGCCATCGCAGCACGGCCCGGGCTGTCCCCGTCACCTCACAAACCACGGCGGCCCGGCCGGGGAACCGGCGCTCCAG